ACCCAGGGCCCCCCGCCACGCCCAGCTCTCCGCAGCGAGTCTCCACCAGGCCCAGCTCTCCACAGCCGCGCGATCCAGCCAGGCCCAGCTCTTCGCAGCCGCCAGTCTCCACCAGGCCCAGCTCTCCGCAGCCGCCAGCCTCCTCCAGGCCCACCTCTCCGTAGTCGTGCAACCCCGCCAGGCCCAGGTCTTCCGAGCCACGAGTCCCAGCCAGGCCCAGCTCTCCGCAGTGGTGCATCTGGGCCAGGCCCTGCCCTCCGAAGCCGCACCACCCCATCAGGCCGTGCTGGTCCAAGTCGCACCACCCCTTCAGGCCCTGGTATCCCCAGTGGCACAGCAAGGTCAGGCCCTATCCTGCGTAGGTGTGCCACCCAGCGAAGGTCAGCCTTTCCCAGCCGCCACTCTCTTGCTGGGCCCACTGATGAGAATCCTTCCCGTGGGCCCTATTTGAGAAAGCTTGTCTTTGGGAGCAGCTCAAGCTCCCCAGATCCTGAGGCCCCAAACCATGCTCCCCAGCCTGTTTGGCATGCAGTTCGTATGCGTGCATCCTCGCCCTCACCTCCTGGTAGGTTCTTTCCTTTCCCTCAGCAAAGTGGTGAGAGCTCCTCCTCCTCCTCCCCTCTGCCTTCCCCTCCCTCCTCCCCCAAGTCTTCTGGCCCAAGCCTCTCCTCCTCACCCAGTAGGGGTTCTGGTCAAAGTTCTTCTTCCTCTTCACCTAAATTTTTTGGCCTGAGTTCTATCCCTACTCCTAGCCCTGCTAGCCTTAGGCGTGCCCTGTTGCCTGAGCTTTATGCCCAGAACCCTGCCTCTCCAGGAGAGCAGGATGGAATAGGGAGCATGCTTAGCCCCTCCACACTGCCTAAGATGTGACCCTCTGTGACATCCTCTGAGACCCACAGAAGAAATCAACAGCTTCCCACTGCTTGAAGGGGCTTCCCATTCCACAGTTACTTGTGAGGTCTCCAAAAGTTATTTGAGCCAACAACCTGACCAGTTTTGAAGCTGCCTCTCCCCTGTTAGCCCATGTTTCCAGTACCCCTTATCCCTCAAAGGGGGAGTCTTTGCTGCTGAGTGGCAGTTTCCGTTTTCAAGTTGCTTTTATATAATGAAATAGTTTAATGAATAAAATTAAAATGTTGGTTTTGTTTTAAAAATGGTCGTTTTTCTCTTTATTGTGATCCAAAAATCTTAATACCATGTAATATTTAGAGAATTAAAGAAAGCTGTTAGTATGCTAGCTGACTCTTGGAAGTGGAGTTAAAACCACTATCCTGTTAGTCATTTAGTGCTCCACATCTGTTGGAAGTGGAGTTCTGTCCAGGTAGTTCCCACTTAGACACCATATACCCTTTTAGCATAAGTAATTTCTAGCTTGGGAAAGAAAAGGGGGGAAGGGTTTAACCAAAAGTAGCTGGAGAAAAAAGAAAGGTCAAGGAGCTGTCCAGGTCAAGAAAGAGGTGGGCCATGATCAGGGGTAGAGGGGCTCAAATTAGAATAGGAAAGCTGGGAGGAAGACCCAGGATCAGGAAGGGGAAACAGCAGGGGTCCAGAGCTTGAAGGAGAAAGGGCTCAGTGTCTGTAGTAACAAAATGTTTATGAATGGAGAACAGGAGTTCCTGAAGTCTGAGGGGCCGGAAGGTGATTCAGTGTTAATGAGTGATAGGGAAGCAGTCAGTTATTTAGTGAAAAAAAATGTGTTAATGGATAATTTTATTGTAAAAAGTAATTGTGACTGAGTTTATGAGCAAGTGTGTGAGGGTGTGTATGTGTATAGACATGGAGAGAAATGTGTGGGCAAACACCATGCTGTGAACAGGGCATATATCTGGTTTTTGGAATAAGTAGTGATACTGACAACTTTCTATTTTCCATTATCTACCTTGAATGTAGAACTACTTCAGTAATGAAACTCAGCTGTTTTTCAAAAAGTGAAGCTGTGGAGATATGGTAAGAAACCACATTAAAAGAGTAGAGAAAAAATTTAAACCAACCCCCCTCCCTACTTTCTTCTATTTCTCATGTCCTCTCCTTTGCTTCTTTAGCATATGACCAGTACAAGCACAGACCTGACCAAAAGGGCCCTTATTCCATTGTATAGCATCCGTCCCAGGCCTTACTTATGGAGAATTTACACCACAGAGCAAAGAGTGCACAGGGAAACGGGGATGTGCTCATCAGGTTCTAACTGTTATTTTTGTAAAACATTTCAGGTACCCTCATACCCCAAGGCTGTTTTCAGGGCCCATGAGGCACTATTTTCAAGGTCCTTCCTAAGGAGAAAAATTTGGGCCTTTACACTCTACAGCCCAAAAAGTAGCTGAGTAGCCACAGTTTGTGGTAGCAACGGATAGACAAAACAGGTGCAGGCCAAGGTATACTTGGTGTTAGGTGTGAGACAACTCTGGTGTAGGACATAGCTGGCACTGGAATAAAGAGACTGAGAACATAAAACAGGGGCCTTAATTTGTAGTTTTATCTCAGACAGTGCAAATGTTGGTGGCTGGCCTGTATGTATCAAATGTATTAGGTCGTTAGGAAAGTCATGATGTATTTTCCTGTTTTTCTATGTAAAATGCATCATGACTTTACCAACGACCCAATAAGTTCTAGCCTCGCCCCAGAGATTTTAGGAACACTTAGGGATATGTATGTAGATGGCCACACCTTGTCCTTGCAGGTGACCTGACCATGCAACACCCCCTATCCCAGATGTTGAAGGTAGCAATACTTCAGGTCTTAAGTTTCTTTTTTTTTTTTTCCCTTTTGGAGAGGTTTTTGCCATAGGGTGTGCGCGCTCGCCAGACAGAGAGAGACAGAGAGACAGAAAGTGAGAAATCACCCCCCGGGGGATGGCCACGCCGCAATCCCTTCTCCATTCTCTCGGGATCTTGGGCATGCACACACATGCACCCAGCGTGAGTTTTAAGCCACTGGGTCTAGGACTCGAACCGCAGTTGACTACATGGGAGTCCAGCGACATAGCCATTATGCTAGCTGCTGGTCCCTTAAGTTTCTTTCTTCAGTTAGCTAACATTGTAGACTGAATCAGAAATGCCGACCATGATAATGCATACTAGCATTTTAGTGGATCTCCTGGATTATTTATCTGCCTGGGAGTGGACACTTTTCCAGTGTCTAATTCAAGTATACCCTGCCAAAATCTACATAGACCCAAATGACCATGAATTCTTTTGAGTGTTGGTCCTTTCCATATTATTTCATTAGGAAAGTACCAAGTACCATCACACAGCAGACATTCACGTTGCAGAATGCGGTGGAAACATTTTAAGATTTCATCTTGAACTTTTGGCAGCATCTAACACAGTTGAGTACCACCCACTCCTTGGTAGATGTTCTTCCTTTGTCTTTCAGGACTGCTCTCTTTGGTTCACCCCACATTCTTTTGGATCTTTCCTACTTGCCAAAGGTCTGAGTGTCAGATTGCTCAAACTTCAATTAAATACATGCCTTTACTTTCTAGGAAATCCCATCCAATCTCATCTTTAAAAAAAATTGGGGGGACCAGCAAATGGTATAATGTTTGTGTTGCTGGACTCCCATGTAGTCAATCACAGTTCAAGTCCTGGACCTGGTGACTTAAAATTCATGCCAGGTGCATATGCATGTGTGCCCAAAATCCAGAGAGGAGACTGAAGGAGAAGGGATTATAGCACGGCCATTACCCTGTGGGGGTGATTTCTCACTTTCTGTCTCTCCAGTATCTCTAAGAAAAAAAAATTAATTGCCAGAGGGCAGGCATGCTCACCAGAGATAAGAGAAAGAGAGAGGGAGAAAGCATCCCCCAGTGGGGTGTGGTCATCCCCCAATCCCTCCTCCTCCGTTTCTCCATCCTATCAGGATTTTGGGCATTTACACACACGTACCCCATATATTTTTCAAGCCTTCTGGGATCTTGCTTCTGTAAACCACCAGACTACCAGGCCAGCCTCAGTCTCATGTCTTTAAATATTTTTTTTTAAGTTGGTGAACCAAAATTGGGTATTGTATATTCTCTCCCTCCCATTCCCTTGCACTTCATTTGTGTATATCTAGCTGCTTAATTGAGATCTAAAAGACATCAGAAATATAGTGTGCTGTCCAGTAGAAATATAATGCTAGCCACATATGTAATTTAAAATTATCTAGTATCACGGACTGGCAGATGGCATGGTAGTTAAGGGTGCTGGACTCCCTCATGACTGACCACAGTTCGAGTCCCAGACCTGGTGGCTTGCTTTCTCACTCCCCCTTCCCCCTCTTCTCTCTCTCTCTCACAAACACACTGTCTCTCTCTGATCAAATTTAAATAAATAAATGAATAATTATTTTCTAGTGTCAAATTTTAAAGTGTATGAACAGACATTCACTTTAATAATTTAACACATCCAAAACATTTTAGCATGTAATCGGTATAAAAATCATTAATGATATATTTTATGCTTTTTTTTTTTACTAGTAAGTCTTCAAAATATGGTATATGTTTTATTACAAGCACATCTGGTTCTGATTAGCCAGGTTTCAAGCGCCTAATCAAAATGGCAACTACTTGCTATTGTGGGCAGCGTGGGTATGGATCTTCTCATTTCTTTGATCTCTGTTATTCATTTTATATTGAATTGTCATTCCATCCCCAGCAGTTTCTCCTGCCCAAAAAGAGAGCCCTGAAGTGTTAGGTGTTATTATTATTGTTGTCATTATTGTTGTAAAGGGTACATGTCCTTGCCAGGGAGGGACAAAGGGAGAGGAGGAGAGAAGGAGGAAACAACCCCCAAAAGGGCTTGGTCGTGTCTCAGTCCCTTCTCCTCCATCTCTCCCTCCTGTTAGGATGTTGTGCATGCATGCACACATATCAGGTGTATTTTTCAAGTTGCCAGGGCCAAGAGTTGAACCACAGTTAGCCATGTGTTCTGGCTCCCTTATCCACTAGGCAATGGGCTGGCCCTTGCTTTAATCTTTTAAATTTATTTATTTCTTCCATGAGTGAGAGAAATAAAATATGCCTAACAGGGTCTTTAAAAAAATTTATTTATTTATTTATTTATTTATTTTCCTATAAGGCACATGCACTTACCAGAGAAAGAGAGAGTCACAGATCATTACCCAGTGCATATGCACTTGACAGAGAAAGAGAGGGAGAGAAAGGGAGAAATCACTCCCCAGAGAGATGGCCACACTGCGATCCCTTCTCTATTCTCTTTTTGAGGCTTTGGGCACACATGACCAGTGTTTTTTTTGGAGAGATTTTTTTTTTACTATAGGGCACGTGTGCTTGCTAGACAGACAGATAGAGACATAGAGACAGAAAGCAAGAAATCACCCCCCCCCAGGGGGGATGGTCACGCCGCAATCCCTTCTTCTCCATTCTCCTGACATGGGAGTCCAGCGACATAGCCATTATGCTAACTGCTGGTTCCCCATGACCAGTGTGTTTTTCAGGCTCCCAGGTTCGTGACTGGAACTATGGAGTCAGACATGTGAATCCAGCACCTTAACTACCTGCTGATCCCCTAACAGAGTCTTTTTATTTTTTAAGGCTTTTGCCATAGGATACATGTGCTTGCCAGAGAGAGGGATGGTGAGAAATCACCCCCTGAGGGATGGCCATTCCCCAATCCCTTCTCCATTCTCCTGGGATTTGGGGCATGCATGCACATGCACCCAATGTGATTTTAAAGCCACCAGATCCGGGACTTGAACCTTAACCATTATACCACCTGCTGGCCTATACTAAAGTCTTTTTTTGTTTGTTTTTAAAAGATTTTTGCCATAGGGTGCGTGTGCTCACTGGAGATAGACAGAGACAGACAGTGAGAGGAAAAGTGAGAAATTACTCCCCAGGGGGGAATGGCCAGCATAATCCTTTCTCCTCTATTCTTCTTCTGGAAATGTGGGTATGCACAAATATGTCCCTGGCATGATTTTCAAGTTGCCAGGTCAGGGACTCAAACTGTGATCAACCCAGTGTCTTCACCTTGCCACCTGCTGCCCACCCCCCTTCCCCAGGGTCTTAATATTGCAGTCCACCCCAAGCTT